GCTCGGGGCTCATTCAGCCTCCAGCCCGCACCTGAGGCGCCGGACAGCCTCGGGTCTTGGGGAACACGGTCCCGCACACGCGGGGGTTCTCTAGTGTCGCACCCCGGCGCTGCTGTGCCCGGACTCCCCTCGGCGCGGAGCTCCGGCCCCGCCGCCCCCCGGTGCCGGTGCCGCTCCCCGGCCGCCCCCGCCGGCGCCGCTCCCCGCCATGGCCCCGCCCCGGCGGCGCCGCCGCCAATGGAGCTGCGGGGCGGGGCGCGGGGCACTCCCGGTGCCCGGGACGGGACGGGCTCCGACCCGCTCCGCTCCACGCGGGGCCGCCGAGTCGCTGCCGGTGCCGGTCCGGCTCCGCGCCGTCTCTCCTGTTCCCGCCGCCCTGCCGGTCCCGGTCCGGTCCGTGCCGTGCTGCTAGCACCGAGTCAGGTAACCCGGGGGGTCGCGCACCTGCCCGCCCGCCCGCTCGGCGGTCCCGACCCTCCCCGGTGCCGGTGTCGCCGCCGGGCGGAGGCGGTTGCGGGGTCGGGGGGACCGGCGGGATCCGCGGCGGGCTCCGCTCCCGGCAGCGCAGCGGCAGCGATACACGTGGGCTGTAGCCGGTTCCGTGCTCCCCGCTGAACGCCGGCGGTACCGGGCCGGGCGGCACCGGCCCGAGGGGTGCGGGCAGCGGGAGATGCGGAGCCGGCGCCGGGGTCCCGGGGGTGCCGGGCGGGCGATGCGGGGCGGCCGTGCCGCGGCGGAGCCCCTGGCCGGGACGTGCCCGGGCAAATCCCGGCGCGCTGCCGCCTTCCCGAGCGGGCGGCGGGGGGCGCCGGCGGGGTCTGGGTCTGGCTGGGCTGCGGGGGCAGTGGGCGAGCCGGGCTGAGCCGGGCCGGGCTGAGCCGGGCCGGGCTGAGCCGAGCCGGGATGGGCCGGGCTGGGCCGGGGCGCGCCCACAGCCGGCACCCGCGTGGGCGCAGCGCGCTGCCCCCGCAGCCGTCCCGTCTCGCCTCTGCTGCTTTTCCAGACAGAAGCAGCTGCCAGATGCGGGGGTCGGGAGGTTTAGGTTGTATATTAGGAACAAGTTTTTCCCCCCCAAAAAATTCATGCCCTGCCACAGGCAGGGGTGAAGTCACTGTTTGGGGAGATTTCGTGGACGCGGGGATGTGGCACTTGGGGACGTGGGTTACTGGTGGGGGAACAGTTGGACTCCATGGTCTCAGAGAGCTTTTTCGGCTACAGTGGTTTTCTGATTATTGCTGGAAGATAGTGAAAGTTATTAAGAATTAGATGAGGAGCAAAAACCAGATGGAAATCCAAAGTTTTATGCAAATTGATAGGAGCTTTGGAGGTGTTACTTGAGATACCTGGTAAGGCAGCGTGTGGGTTTCCGAGGTGGGGCAGCCCTAACTTGGCAAAAATCACTGGGAAGTGGGCATTGTGCCCTGGGGACTACTGCTGTGCGCTAAAGAGGGGTGAGAGCAGCCCGGGGCACTTCCTCCCCACCCCACGCACGGTGCTTTCGCTTAAAGCAAACACAAGTCCCCAGCCACTCCAGATAAAACACTTAGTGGGCAGCTGTGTGTGTAGAATCTCCAGTCTGAGATACCTGCTGATTTCCAAGCCACGTGGAAAGCCTCAGATTCCACCTTTTTTTCTTCTGTGAGACACCCATTTCCCAGAGGAGTCCCACTGCTGTAAAGGTTCTCCCAGCACAGTTTGTGGCACAGGGAGGTGAGGAGACACTGTCTGGACCAGAGTGAGGGAATGGCTGAGCAGGAGACTGGAGCTGACTGTGGCCAGCCATGAGGCATGCACTCATACTTTCCAGATAGCATTTTTTCCCCCTGCTTTTCACTTGCAGCTCTTATTTAGGATTTCAGCTCTTTGTTCTTGGGTTCCAGTGTATCCAAGTGTCTCATCTTGAGCCATGGTGCTGCCTGTCTGTGCCAGTCAGTCCTGCAGCAGAGTAGAAATCTCCTGTAATGTGTGTGCTGGCTCATGTGGTGATGTGGAAGAGCCACTGCTGGTGGGTGCCTGAGCCCCTGAGGGTGGGTCTGGGCACCTCCTGTCCCAGGCAAGCAGAGCCCCATGGCTGGAGGGCACAGGGTCCGTGGCTGAGATGGGAAGCAGCCCCCACCCCATCTCCTCCTGTCCTGCCAGCTCCCCTGCCCCAGTCCCTGCTGGGCAGATGGGGAGAATCAGCAGCACTGAGGGTTTCACTGATGGCTTTCATTTTGTACCTTTTCACTTACTGTTTTCCTCACCCTTGTTTTCCTCCCATAATCCTTTAGCTGCACACAAAAGAAATAGATTGGATTCCAATACAGCCTAATATTTTTTTGAAAATTACACTTTCACAGAGAAAAGACAATGGCTGAGCTGTAGTGCTGTCACAGGGTGGACGAACTGCAGCTCATGCTGTGGCTCTGCTGGAACCATTTCATCTCATGCAGTGAAACTCATTCAGCAGCTCATGGCTTTGGTATCTCAAGGGCTGATGCAGTGGGGAGCCCATTCTGCTCTCCTGCTCAGGCAGGATGTCTCTTTAAGGCAATAAAAAAGTTCTTTAACAAATTAGAGATGTTTTCCAGTTAGATCTCATCTGGGACTGATGGCAGGAGGTTCTTCTTCCCCTCAACCTCTAAGTACATCGATACTGTGCCCCATGTATGCTCGTTGTTACTGTGTCACCTTTATATTCCCCTGTGGCAGATAAAATGTGCAGCCCTGGAAGTGTCAGGGAGACTCCATGTGGCTCCCAAAGAGGTGGGAGTTGTTGGTTTTGGCTTTTCCTTGGCTTTTCCAGTTGTTTCAGTCAAACATTAGGTGATCCAAGGTTGCTGCCATACCAGAGCAGCACCAGGTGGTTTAGATGTGTTCTCCATGTACAAATCAAATGTCTTGGGTCTGGTGGTGTTGAAATAAGAATTACAAAGATCTCCCAGCTTTGAATTTCATGCCTGATACTCAACCAAGTGTTGGTTCCCTGTATTGTCACACTTGAGCAGCAGCAGACCTGCCCTGTGCCCAGTATCCTGCTGGCACGTTGGGTAGGGCTGTCTGCTCCATCTTGAGTGATTCCATCATCCTGGCAGAGGTCCTTGTGCTTGGAGCAGCTCTGACACAGGATTCCTTTGGCCTGTGTAACTTTCTGTATTTGGCAAACTGCTTTAAACGGGGTTCTTGTGGGGAGGGGGCTTTGAGGGCATTGTCTCAGCTGCAGACCCTTTGAAAGGCTGGGAAATTCTGTAAATATATGAGAAAAAGTGGCAAAGTTGTGTTCGCAGGACAGTTTCACCAAAAACCCTGCTGGTTTGGGTTTTTTTTTTTTTATTTTGTTGAGGTTTTTTTCACCAGTGCTTTTTTCCATGCATTACAGCACTTTGGAGATCAGGTAAAAATCAGCCCCTTGCTCTCCCTACTCTGGTGTCAGGGTTCCTTTCCTGTTGCCTGCAATTCTGTTTCATTCATCAGGAGCAAAAGCCTGAACCAAACTCCATGCCCCTGGCATGCTGCCCTCGCAGAACAGTTGGGTGACACCTGCCCAGTGTGCCAGCCCCCCGGAGGACTCTGTGTCATTCCTCTGGGCCCTGGCTCCTTGCTTTTTATTTTCCCTCCTGTATTCAACCTGTAGCTGAACCCTGACACCCAACCCTGTGCTTGAGACAGAGACACTGGGATCACCACCTTCTGAGATGGTGACAAATCTTCTTTTATTCAGTGGTGTCAGGAACCTTTATGCTAGTTACAAGCTGTGCCCGTGCCCCTCCCGAGTCCCTTCAGCCCCTGCTGGCCTGTCCCCATGGACTTGGCTGCTGATCCTGGATCAGCCCACGTGCTGTGAGCAGGAGGGAGGGTGACTCATGCTCTGTGCTCGTCTGGGCAGACCTCATCTCCCATGAATCTCGGCCCTCCAGAGCAGGGGGAGCCCAGCCAAGTGTCCTTTTCCAAAAGGCACCGGCAAGGGAGTGGTGGGATTAGGCAGAAAAAGCCTGCAGAGGAATGCTGCTGTGGGAGGGGAAGGAGCTGTGGCAGGAGGTGTGGGGGCTCTGTAGATGATCCCCCCTCTTACTGCAAGAGCCTTGCAGGGGCCAGACATCTGGCCAAGCTTCCCTCTCAGAGGACAGCTCTGGTTCTCCAGGCTCTTCAGGCTGGTGTCCTCCAAAAGGTGTTCACTATTCCTGATGGGTGTGGAGAACTTGGTCCCAAGGCAGGTTGAACAGTTTCTCTCTTGATTTTCTGCATGAGGTAATAGGAAAAGCAAAGTGGAGATTGGTCTAGTGAAAGTGGGTTTTATTCCCTGTCTGTTTTCATGGGAAGAACCCACCTAGAATCTGCAGAAATAATCAGGCAGCCCCAAAACTCCAAGTAAATTGCTCAGTTTTGCAGCTTCAGTCTGAACTGCTTGCTCTGATTGAGATGCTGGTCCTGGGCTGGTTCTGTTGTTACCTTCTGCTGAGCCATTAATGCACCTCAGGAAGGCTCTGGAGGTTTTTCCAGAGGGAGGTGGGAGCTTCTTCTGCTGCTCCTCTGAGTTTGCTGTGAGTGACACCATGCAGAGATGAAACGTGCATGGGGCAGGAGCCTGAGCGACTGCACAGCTCCAGGCTTTTCTTTTTTGATGAGTCTTTGCTGGGGCCAAGCTCTCTCCTGATTGTCTCTGGTACCCAGAGCCATGGCTGGGGCTGGCAGAATGCCCTGGTGACCTGAGCAGTTAGTGGTCAGTACTTCAATACTGTGACTGAAATTTCATTTGCTGCATTGTGAGGCTGTGAGATGACAACAGAATGGGGCAGCCCATGGCCAGCCTGGGACTGAAGGAGCCATGTGGAGGGAGCCAGGAGTCACCTCCTGCCCAAGTCCCTCCCCCAGTGCTCAGCAGTGCTGGCTGCTGTCCTGGCCAGGTGGAGATGTCTACCCAGACATGGGCACACTGCTCATCCCAGATGTGTTAGGGCTGGCTCTGATCCCTCTGCCTTCTCTTCCTCTCGTCCCCAAGCTCCCCTCTCCTCTTCAGCACAATGGCCTGCCAAGAGAGTGAGTACCTGGATGACCAGAAGAAATGTGTCCCCTGCAGGAAGTGCATGCCTGGGCAGGAGCTTTCCAAGGTAAATTGACTTCTCTGCAAGGAGCAGAAATTATCATGTGTGGCACAGCTGGGTTAATCTGCCAGCCTCCCTTCAGAAAGGTGATCTTAGGTCCCAGCATGTTGGGAAGAGCTGAGACTTGGCAGGATGGGATGGTGGCTTGTTTGACTTACCCTGGTAGAAGGGTGAGACAATGGAAGCAGGAGGTGATGAGGGATTTAAGGCAGCACAAGGAGCAACCTGATTTCCTTTTTTTGCTGGTGGAAGTCTAAATTTCCTCTGGTCTGTAGCCCCAAGCAAGGTCACACTGCCTGGCTGGGCTGCACCGGGGTGTGTGAGGGCAGGACACTGCTGCAAAGGGTCCAGGGGGTCTCAGAGGGGGGAGGCTTGGGTTGGTGGGAGGTTTGGGTTGGTGGGAGGCAGCAGGGTTCACCTGGTGGTGCTGCTGGAGCTTTCCAACACCCAGAGCACACCAGTGGGCCCCAGCTGGCAGCAGACAGGGTCCCCGAGTGTCTCCTGGGAGCTGCACTGGCGGTGGCTGCTCTCTGCTGGGTTCTGAGGACCCTCCATGAACAGTGGCCTTTTGCCCTCAAAGAAGGGACACTCAGTACCCTTTGGAGCCCGTGGTGGCCCCTCACCACATGTCCCCAATATCGTGTCCCCTCCCCTTGCAGGACTGCGGCGATGGCAGCGGCGGGGACGCGCAGTGCGTGGCCTGCCCTCCCAGGAAGTTCAAGGACCGCTGGGGACACCACGGCTGCAAGCCCTGCCTGTCCTGTGCCCTCATCAACCGCCTGCAGAAATCCAACTGCACGGCCACGGCCGACGCTGTCTGCGGGGAGTGCCTGCCGGGGTGAGCGGGGCCAGCACAGCACAGCCAGCCCTGGGCAGGAGGGAGGGGCTGGGCATGGGGTCCCACACGGCACCTAAGAGGAGCCTGGTGACCCACGGGTGTCTCTGTGAGGACACTGCTAATGGCATGGAAGTCAGACCCATCTAGTGGGTCCCTAGAGAAGGAAACCTGAAGGCTCACGTAAATGAGCTGTGAAAGAAAACTTCCAGACTCTCATTGTTCTGTAGACACCAGGGTGGCTGAGCCCTGGAAGATGAAGTGTTGCAGACCACTATGGTTAGTAGTCCCCAAAGAGGGGGTTTAAGGGGTTACTGAAGTGAAATGGCTGCATACAGACAGCCTGTGCTGCAGACACCACTGGCCAGCAGTGGGCTCCAGTGTAGGAGTCTCTTCTCAGACAGAGCCATAGCTGGGCTGTTCCCAGCCCTGTAGAGAGCTATTAACCATTAAAATCCACTTCAGCAGACATGATGGGGGCGGGGAGCGGGGGCTGTTGGGAAGATGTTGCTTCTTGACAAATGACAGCTAGACATGAACAAGTAGGTGTGGTGTGGCTCCAGCCAGCGATGAGAGCCCTGTTGCCAGCCAGGCAGGAGTGCAGGACAGGTGTCCCCCTGTGCTGTGGGGTGGGTGGCACAGCTCCCTGGCTGCACAGCAGGGTGGTGGCAGCCCGGGGGGCCAGGCTGAGCTGGGCCTGTGTGCTCTGTTCCGGCAGGTTCTACAGGAAGGCGCGGATCAGCGGGCAGCTGGAGTGGGAGTGCATTCCCTGCACCAAGCAGACGCCGTCCTCCGAGCCACAGTGTAGGTGTCCCACCCTGCTGGGGTCAGGGCAGGGGACGTGGGCACAGGGGAGCCACAGCCCTGCTGGGGGAGGCACAGCCATGGCATGTGATGAGGGATGGGCAGGGAAGGGGTGGTCCAAGCCTTGGGGTTTGGCTCCAATGCTGTGTGGATGTTTGCAGGTCGCTCCAGAACAAACCTGGTGAAGGTCGCTGTCCCTACTGTGCCACCACAGGACACAGCCCTTCTTGCACTGACCAGCAGTGCCCTGGTCATCATTGTCCTGGTGCTTCTGGCACTTTCCATCATCTACTGCAAGCGATTCTGGAAAAGCCAGTGCCAGAGAGGTGAGTTGGTGCTCTCCTCCCTGCTGTGCCACTCACCTGTGCCCGTGGCCCCTTCTTGCTGTGCAGAGCATTGCTGAATTCACAGCACAGTGACCCAGCTGTTCCTCAGCTCACACAGAATAGACACCTCATCCTGCTTCTCATGCCTGCAGGGCCTCTCTGTGTGTGCTTTACCTGCTCAGTGACACAGAGGAGCCTCCCTCCTTTTCTTAGGGCCATCAGGAGGAGGAGGCCATTTCACTGTCAGAACTAGCAATCCTCCCTTCTGAGGTTTTTCTGCTTGGGTGGCTCTTTGCTGCAGAATGAAGAGGGCTGTAGGTGTGGTGGCCAGGGTTGGGGCAGGATGGCATCCAGCAGCGTGCCAGGGAGCTGCTGGGCTCTCAGCTCCTTGCTGGCAGACATACCACGGGGCTGAGCACATGCTAGGGAAGCCAGCCAAGCCTTTGCTCAGGCTGTTTCTCCTCTACCCTCAAAGTCTTCCTGAGGACTCAGAACTTCTCGGGCCAGCGAGCAACGTTCCCAACTGCAGCAGCACCCGGCAGGTTCCTGTGTGAGGAGCAGATGTCTGGACCCTGCTGCCTGGGTGTGAAGAATTTGAGCCCTTGCTACAGGCAGGCAGAAGGTACCTGCTCTTGTTCTTTCCCTGGGGAAGGGTGGGTGGTGCTGTGCTCCAGCTCACATGGTCCCAGGATGAGATGCCCTGAGGCAGGAAGGATGGAGCTGGATGCTGAGCTTCACTGATGAGTGCTGGTTTCTGGTTCCAGGCCCCGTGGAAGCAGTGCAGTTCATTTCTGATGGGGAGGCCGTGGGTCTCCAGCTCCCCTCTCTCCAGCCAGAGATGGACTTGCCACCAGCCATTGCAGCCAGCACTGTCTCCAAGGCCCAGCTGGGCAGGAGCCTCCTGGAAAGCCAGCCCCTGATCCGGGCCTCAGGCCATGGTGACTGCCTGGAGGGGGTCCTGCCGCCCCCCGCCCCCAGGCAGGGCACGGTGGAGGCCCTGGCCCCCCTCTCCTCCTGTGCCTCCGAGATGCAGCACAAGTGGCCCCATGCCCCCGTGGAGTGCACTGAGCTGGACCTCCAGAAGTTCTCCAGCCAGGCGGAGTTTGTGGGTGGTGAGCGGCTGGAGGACGCGGCTGGCCGGGCTGTGAAGAGGATTCCAGCAGAGAGCAGTGCTGGGGTGCAGGAGAGGGCTCATCACCTGCCCACAGCTGAAATCCCACCCGGGGAGCAGCCGGTGAGTTCCTCCTGCCTTGCACTGCTCAGAGCTGCTGCCAGCTGCCCAAGGCTCGGGCACAGGGGCTGGGCTCCACACAGGGGTAGGAATATGGACTGAGTTATGTTAATATGGGGTGGAAAGGCTGGAGGAGAATTCCCTGAGCCCCTGTGCAAGCCCTGGGAGCAGAGCCAGGCTTTGCTGTTCTCAGCAGACTGACACCAACCTTGGGGTCTTTGTCTTGCCAGGTGGATGATGCCCAGACCCTGGTGACTCAGATCAGCAGCACGGCCAGTGGTAAGTGGCCTTTCAGTCTCACCTTTGTACTCCAAGTACGGGCATATCAGAGGAAGGCTCTTGGGAGGAAGCTCCTCCAGAAGTCCACCAGGGACTCGCCTGACTTGTGGCCTTTGGTGCTGGTCCACAGGGTATATTTTCTGTGATGCTGCCTCGAGTGGCCTGTGGGCAGGTGGCCCAGCTGTCACCAGTTAGCAGCTTCCCCAGGACTGAGCCAGCTCCATGTTGCTGAGCTCTAAAAGTGATGTTGGAGGAGATCCCTGCCCTGGCAGGGTGGCCTTTCACCTGCTCAGCAGGGCCTGAGGCTGGAGGCTGGCTGTTCTCTTTGCCCTTTTCCTGTTTGGCTAGGATGTGTCCTAACCCACCCTCGCTGTGTTGCCGTCCCCAGGTCTCCCAATAGCAGAGCTGCCCCATTCCTTGGTGCAGTCTCTGGCCTTCCTGTTGGACCCTTCCTTGAGCGGTGTGAAGAACTTCAGCCACGTGGCTCTGGAGCTGGGGCTGATGCCGCAGCTGCTGGGGCGGATTTCGGGCTTTGAGCAGCTGGTGGCACACTTCACCTCTGCGGGAGCTGCGGTCACCGTCCCTCTGCTGGCGCGGGCGCTGCAGCGGCTCCAGCGCTTCGACGCCCTCCTCCTGCTCTGCGACCACTTCACGCTCAGCCCCGCGCCCGACCGCCAGCGCTAGGGCACGCCCAGGGACAGAGCAAGCTCCATGCGCTGCTGAAACAGCGGCCTGCAGTCACAGACCCTCCCTGGGGTGCGTGGCAGGAGGACATGGAGATGGTTTTTGTGTCGTGGAATGGACGTGACGGGTGTCTCTGCACAGGGGTTCAGAAAGCACAGCCGTGCCTTTTCCCTGCTCCGTGGGGGAGGGCTTGCTCAGGCCCCTCCAGAGGCTGTTTTTTGTCTAGTTGTGACACCCTTCCCTGTTGGTTGATGTGCTGCCCATACTGCGGTGCTCTGGCTCTGCAGTGAGCCCTGTCCTGCCCCACTGTTGCCATGGGGTTCCTCAGCCATTGGGCTCACTGTCAATGGGCAGTGCCCTCCTATGAGCCCAGCCATCTCCTCCCTTCCATTCCAGCTTTCCCATCCTTCCTCTGGCCCGTGCTCTGTTTTCCTGGGTGCCAGTTGCCACTTTCTCAGTTTACTTTACAGTTGCTTCTCTTCCTCTGTGCTGCGATTTCCTTGGCAGAGGACCTACGGTGGCTGATGTGCCAGGGCCACCAGCCTTTGTCCCTCTGTGCCACCCTGGCACCTTCCTCTTCCTGTGCCCATTTGTGGTGCAGTGTAGCATCCTGGCACGAGTTTCAGGCTGACTCTCGTGAGGAGCTGATGTAAGCCCTCGTTGGGCTGTGGCTGTTGGCCATGGGCAGGTGCTGGCTCACCCCAGCCCCGTGGCTGTTCACTGCCCATTGCTTCCAAGGCTTCACAAACTGCCTGTGGTGGCACAGAGTGTCAGGGGCAGGGACACTGCCCCACAGGTGGCAGCTGAGGGCTGAAGCTGTGGCTGTGGTCACAGGCAGCAGTGACATTCCCGTGCCAGCCACAGCAGGAGCTCCTGCAGAAGCTCCTCCTCTTTTAAAACAACATTTTTCCTTTTTTTTTCCTGCCTAAAAATGGCCTGATTTCTCATTCCTGGGAGTTGCTACTGGGAAGGGGGAGCACCCTTCTGCTTGGTATGTCACCCTGGGGGATTTGTCATGACTTGCCATGGTCTTGCTGTCACCCTGATTTCAGTGTTGTGCCTGAGCCTGGGGGCTGCAGGCAGCTGGGCTGTTCCTGGTGTGCCGTGGCCACGGGGCTGTGCTGGTGGCCCTGGACAGCAGTGGGGGCTGCAGGACACGTTCCTGAGCAGGGCAGAGCAGTGTGGGGGCGGCTGGGCATGCTGGGGGTCAGGGGCAGGGCAGCTGCCAGCAGGGCTGGGGCTGTGGCTCAGCTCCCAGCAGAGCCTGCTGCTGGTAACACCAGGGCTGAGAGCTCAGTCCCTCTGTGGGCCATTCACTTCAGAGTTGTGCTCCGTGATCTTTGTGGTCCCTTCCAACTCAGGCTGTTCTGTGATGTGGTGTCACCGGAGCCATCCCAAGGCTCGCAGACAGCATCGCTGGGGCTGAGCTGGTGACCTTGCTTTGTCCTGGGGCTGCTCTCTGCTGTCCTGCCTGTCACCGGGGTCTCAGCAGGAGCCGGTGCTGTGGTGGTCACCAGCAAGTGGCACTGTTACCCCACTGCCTGCTGCCCCCTCCCAGACCCCACAGAATTCTCCTTTATCTGACCACGGTACCTCAAAGAAACCAGTGCCCTTCTCTAGGAAGGCAGATCTCCCCCACACCCCATGGAGCAATAGCTGCTGCTGTTTTCTTTCCCTGTTTAAAGATGTTGGGGCTTGAACACACCCAGGATATGCTCAGATAAACAAAGGCATGGGCAGTTGGAGCTGGACCTGGCACTTTCCCTCACTGCTTGTTTCTTCAACAGTCAAGGTCGTTTTATTGCTCTTTGCTGCCCAAGACCTACAGCGTTGAACTTTGAGCCATGTGGGGCCAGGATTAGTCAGACTCTTGCTGCACTCTTGGACTGTTGGGGAGTGTTGCTATAGCACACACAGCCTGGGGCCAGGGATTTCCTGTTTGAGGCTTTTCTGTGGCAGGGAGAGTGCTGGGTTTAATCACCTCGCAAAATCCAATAAATATTTAATCCCTCTGTGGACATAGTCACTTCCAGTGGGAAGGAAAATAACTTCACCCACTGCCTCTGAGTAAGAGCCTCCCTGCAGCTCAGCTTGCTGGCCCTGGCTTTGAAGTTGGAACTGGACTGTGCAGCTTGTCCTGTGTGCTCTGTGTCACCAGTGCCACCAGCGTGTGGTCACTTGGAGTGCACAGAGCAGTGGCAGCCAGGCAGGATGGCAGAGCTCCTGTCACACAGCAGTGTGAGGAGCAGGAGATGGGCGGGAAGGGCTGTTAAATTAGAGCTGTGGATGATGGGGACATGACACAGGTGTGTGCTGCAAATCTCTTCACGTGCTGGGCAGCTCCATTAGTGTGCCACAGTGGGGCTCTGGGCCAAGCAAATGAAGTGAGGATTTAGTTCATTTGTTTAGGGGTTTTTCTCACTTTTTATAAAGAAATCAACCTCATTTTCTTCATAGCTTTTAAGGTAAACTTATTTTTCAATTGTTTGACGTCTGAGCAATATTACTTGTACTCAAAACTCACCCCCTGCCTTGAGGGTGCAGCACAGAGGGTGTGAGCTGTGCTGGCTGTGGGTATGGGCCATGCCCCAGCCCCTGCCCCACTGGTGCTGCCCCTCAGGCCCTGGCTGTGCCACAGGGTGTGCTGTCCCAGCACAGGCTGGCAGGACTGGTTTTCTGTGTGTTTGAACTGTTCTGGGTTCCCCCTCAGAGCCTCACCTGTGGTGTCAGTGCAAGTCTCACTGGCTGGTGCTCCAGCAGGGCTGGACACTGCACAGGAGCCCTGCAGGACGTGGCTTTTCAGCAGTGAGGCTCCCCCAGCTCCCAGCCAAAGGCTGCTCCCCACTCTCACTGTGCTCTTGGCAGGCACCTTCCTTCAGCTGCGGTGACAAAACCAGCTGTGTTTACAAGGGCCAAAAGTTCAACAGGTAGCCTCTAGCCCACCCTAAAACCGCTTGGCCAGGCTGCCTCGAGCCCAGCCAGAGCCCTCAGGGAACCATGAGAGCCTTGAAAAGAGGGAAATGCTGTGACTCAGTCATCAGAAGAACAGTGATCCCTGAGCAGGGAACTGCTTCACTGGGGAACCAATGGACTTGATACTTGACTTTTGCTTTTTAATAGTATTTTCAACATAGTACATAGAATGTAAGGTAGGGAAATTCCTGTAGTGCTGGATCTCACGTCACAGCCTCAGGAAGCCATTTGTGCCAAGCTGGCATGGCTCACAGAGAGGTGAAAGAAATCAAATAACTCTGAAATCTGTGCAAACTTGAGCTAGGACTGAACAATGGAAGCACTCCAGTGCAGTGGGGTTATTTTTTCACAAGTGATTGGTTTCCACACCAGTCTTGCCTGGAAGTCTGATTTGCAGAGGAATTTGTATGATAAGTTTAAATCTAGCCCTGTTCTGGGAAGCTCTTAAGCATAGACTTAAAATAGGCACATACTTCACTGTTGTTAAAGTGTTTATTCTGGTGAACAATTGGTGAACATCCCTCGGGTGCTGTTCCTGAACAGGGGGCTCATGAGAGCTCTCCCTCCAATGTGCTTTTACAGAAATAGCAATACTGAAGAAAACTTGGTGTTACTGATCTGGGCACTCTTGTTGGAAGAGTCTGCAAGTGTTGGGGGGAGATACCCCCTCTGTGTTGGATTATTTAATACTTCAGACTCTGGTGCTTTTCAAAAAAAACAAATCACTACATTTCTATAGCCATGGTTTACCCAAGGGAATATGTGTTGTTTTTTGTGGTAGATGTTATTTTTCTTTAAGGTTACGAATAGGTTATTTATATTTTTGTAAATTCTGTGCCATTACCGTTGTAATTCTGCTGTAGCATTATTTCTGTTGGGTTTGGGGTGTTGTCTGTGTTCAAATCAAGCAGAAGCTGAAGCTCCTGCCCCCTGTTAGTGGCAGGGGGTTGGTCCCTCACATTCCTCCAGACCTGGTGCTCTTGAGTGATGTGTGTTTGTAGTTCAATAAATTTTGGAGCCAGACACGGTGACGCTCGGTGAGTTTTGATTTCTCTCAGCATTGCTGTGGGCCCCCTGCCCACCTGCTGGTGGGGGCTGAAGCTGAGGGGCCAGGGGGGCTGGGAGGGGGCTGGCCCCATCTGGCAGGGCAGGCAGGGCTGCTCAGAGATGCTGCAGCAGCCGAGGGCATCAGCCTCAGCCCCGGAGTGGGAAGGGGCAGGAGGGGCTGCAGCGGGTGGTGCTGGGTGGGGTGGCCATGGTTCTGTGCCTGCCCCCACCATGGGCATCAGTTTTAGTTTTTCCATGGGTTTCATGTTCCCCAGAGTGGCCAGGTCTCAGGTGTTGCTCACTGCATGGCCTGGGGTCAGGGGGAGCAGAGACCCCTCAACGATGCCCAAGGAATTCCCATTCCCAAAGCTTCACTGAGGAACAGCTGCTGTTTAACCTTGGTAATTACAGAGCTCGTTAAGCCTATTCATGCTCTTCTACTGGTATGTTTAAACAATTATTAGCATCGAGGGTGTTTTCTGTTCTAATGAAAGCTGTGATACTTGTCCAAACTCTGGCAGGCTCCCTGAGTGCCTGCAGCTCATCCTGCCCGTGAGGATCCCCATGCAGTGCCCTGGCTGCCTCTGTCATGCCACAGCTATGGACAGCACCAGTCAGGGCCCCCAAGAACCACTCATCCACCACCAAACACAAAGCCATGGCAGAGGTGGAGGTACTCAGCACCCACAGTTTCCAAAGAAGCCTTTTCTGAGCAGGGTGTGGTGCCTGGAGCCTGCTGGCACAGGGGCTGTTCACGGTGCAGCCCAGGTGTTCCCAGGGTGCCCAATCTCACCACAGCCTGCCAGGGTTTCCTTAGGGCTGAGATGACCTGGGTTAAGAGCAATGTTTTGCTAAAACACTGATTGAAATTCTGTAGTTACAGGGAGAGGATGGCTGCCCTTTTCTGTGCAGGAGAGGGTAAGCACACAGTCCTCAGGGGAGTGGGAGCTGCAGCATTCAGCGAGAAAAGGGCAGGAATG